AAATGCTATGAAATATATATATATATATATATATTTCATAGCATTTTAATTTAAAAAGTCTTGTGCAGATTTGTACAAATCTGTGCAATTAACTCATCATTTTGCACCGTGGCCCTAATCCTCTTCCATATCATTCCACTGAAACAGTTTTTTTTGTTTGTTTTATTACACCGATTCACAATTGTTTTGGCATTGTCTTGAGACACTTCTCGTTGTGTAAAATCTTTCTACTCGTTACTCATGAAGCCAACCAAATACTTTCAATGCAATGTTCCCTCCTGGCTTTATATAAAGCAGCAATACAATAAACACAATTAAACTGGGTTGCTTTCAATTTGATGCCAACTATTTTAAGCGATGTGTCTTCTTGGAAAATATTGATAAAGATGAACATTCTCCTTGCTTGTACTTGAAGATGTATTTTTTGAGAAAGGCGTTGGATTTTCACCACATTGGTTAAAGTTGTAGCTTCTGTGAAGTTTTTTTTTTTTAGATGAATAATCCTGTATCCAGCTGTTGTTTTGAAAGCCCAGGCTTGGGGTGGAGCTGATTCTGCCTTTGGTGACGTGAGCTTCTGTTGTTTGAACTGCCACGAGTAAAGCTGAAAATGCCTTGGGTGAGGCGTTTCGTTAGAGCCCTGGAGCGCTGGCTGCAGCTCTGCTAGTGACAGATGGTGATAACCATGAAGAGACAGGTCTTTTAAGCGCTCAGTGCACTCATAATAAATGCTGTTTGCAGCATGCTTTCAACCACGTTGCATTCCTGTATAGAAAGTGCAGGGATTTCTGACTCTAGGATTCCAAGCAGGGCTGTGCGAATTCATCTTGTGCTCAAATCCAAGACTGCGTTTGCTAACAGTCGCCACGGACCTCTCTGTGCCCCAGAACCATCCGAGACTTGATGATAGTCTCTTTCACAATGGAGATGGCATTGTCTTTTTTAACTTATCAGTTATTTTGCCGTTAAAAGTATTCAAGTGTTTGACAACAGCCCCCTAAAGTCTGAGGTTTTCTGAGGGGTGTCTTACTTAAGTCAAAACTCTGGGTGAGTTCATAAATCTTGGACGCTAGCTGATGGAAATGATTTCCATAAATGGGAGTTGTGCTGGCAAAACAAGTCCCAATGAGGAAAATTTCAATATTGAGTTTTTATCATAAAATTCTCTAACTCAAAAGCTTTAAAATTATATTCTTTGTTGAACTTTGACAATTTATTACCCGACCTGGCAGCAACAAACTAGTTTTTATTAAGCGCCCATTGAAAGGTGGACGCATCATAGTATAGTCTACATTAGTCTGCATGTTGGTAAACCTTTTTCTATCCCGTCCATAACTTCTGATATGCTCAAGATAATTTAATGATGATGCATGTGTGTATCAAGTTTCATTAAACTAAGTGCTACATGCACTTTTCACAAGATCTTTGCTTGTCCAGTATGTGGTACTCTTGTTTACATGTTTATTTGAAATATGTTTGTTTTATTGGTCGATTGATGTCATTGAAAATTCCAGCCCTGTATTTAAAAACAGGAATGCCTAATGTTCAGTCACATTGAACTTTATGTGAACAGATATCTTGGCTTTATGGCAGCCTGCAGAGAAAGACGGTCAATTTCTAATTGACTAAGTGTTATAAGACAGCAATATTTCTGAAAACATACCTGGTTACAGAACACTTTGCTTTAAAGGAAGATTATTTTAGTTATGGGGTGGCTTGGTGTTTTCACAGACTTTTTATGCAAAAATCCACAAGTTCACTTTTTTACTGCTTGTTGACTGACTTGTTTTGTAGCACAGGTCACAAATGTATTATTGTATGACTGAAGCAACATTTTATAAATATTTCCTCTACTAATAATAAGCTCATTTCACTGTATTTCTCACGAGCATCTTTATTATTTCATTTCTTTGTGCCCTCAGGAGCGTCTTCTGTTGTCTTTGCTGCCGGCTCACATCGCCCGTGTCATGAAAGCAGAGATCATTCAAAGACTTAAAGGACCAAACTTTGGCCAGATTGAGAACACAAACAACTTTCACAACCTCTATGTCCAAAGACACACTAATGTCAGGCATGTAAATATTTATTCTGATCACCACTTTCATAACTATGAGGATCTGCACAGAATAACTAACTGAGATGTGAAAGCCTTACAAGCATAATGTCTCCAATACATATTTATGGATTTGAAATTTTCTTTGCTGAAAAATGTAGAATATAATTATAGTTTATGAATAATTCATTATTCCATTTCCAGTATACTTTATGCAGATATAGTTGGATTCACGCGGCTTGCCAGTGACTGTTCACCTGGAGAACTGGTGTACATGCTGAATGAACTGTTCGGTAAATTTGATCAGATTGCCAAGGTAAACACCTGAGCTTGATTACATTTCAGCTAATCCTGATTTAAAGATGTTGGAAGGGAAATAATAGATCTTGCATGCAAACTGTAAACTGCAATTTGTTTTATTCTGTCTTACTTTACAGTTTTACAAATCTACACAACATGTTGCATAAAATAACTTTATACATTCAAGTGTCATAGTATTATCTTCTTAAAGATACTTTTTGTGAAGTTTTAGACTTCACATATTACTGAGTTTTTTGTCTCTCGCTGAGGAGCGTAGAAGGGGAATTGGAAATATTGTCTGTCTGTGCATGTTGTCAGCATAACTTGAAAAATAAATGAAGTACCAACTTTCATTTGGATGTGTGGCTGCATTTAGGCATACTTTTTTTAAATTCAAGATGGCCCCCACCATAAAAATGTATATGTAAACAGACCACCCCTATCATTTGAAGAATCAATGGTCAGCTTTCTCAGTTTACATATATTCCAGGAGAAATTTAATAAGTTGACCTGTTTCAAGGCTAAATCGGGGAGTTGGATTCAAATAAGCCATAGTTGTTGATATTTTTTTCAGGCAGACTGTTATTTCTTGTCAGCCTTGAGTTCTGCTGGTACATTTAATCCAAAATGGCCAGATTTGTGGGCATTCCCCTGATCCATGCTTATTAGCACTCTCCAAGGTTGTCCCCAACATGCTGGCGAGTCCCAGAAGCTGCAAGTGGCCTGTGATTCTCTCAAATCATTTCCATTTTATGGTTTAGGTTGTAAATCAGCTGATTTTGAGTGCGCGAAGCACGAACCAAATCTGCAGACATGGTTGGAAGCTTTGCCATGGCCGAAACTGCTGACGCCATCTTCTTTAATAGCCACTAACATAGGTATCTGCAGGTGCCAAAAAGCAGAAACCCTGCTGTCATGATTCCAATATCTTCAGCGTCCTCCTGAGACAATACGGAAAGGCACATCAGCTCCATGACGTATCCTGCCGCGTGTGTCTCAGCGGGGCATGAGAGTTCTCCAGGACCCTGTCGCTTTGTAGAAATGTTTTTATCGATTTTGTTGAAAGTTCAGCTGACCAGATCCATGACAGTAGTTTACATTTCGGAAGATGTGTAATTCGGTGCTCTGATACACAAGATAGAGTGAAAAAGCAGGAGGAGGACAGGAGAGGGAAGACATGCGTCCATCTTACATGAGAGCAAGTGGTGAAGAAACTGTGTTTTCTAGTTTTTATATTGCTTAAAAGTATAGATTCCTTAAATGATTAGGGTAGCTCGTGGAAGATTATTCTATGTTGGCCAAGGCCACCACTGGCCACCCCTTGGCTTCACCACTGCACCAGGTGATGGATAAAACTGCTCCCTCCACTCTCCAGGATCTGTCACTCTGCCTCAGACAAGGAAAAAAAAAAAACTCCCTCTGTTCTTCTCCACAGTATAACTCCACTTGAATATCGTACACCAAAAACATTTAGGTTTACTTACATTCTCTGCCCAGTCCCTGTCCAGAAAAACACTCGTCTCCAAAACTACAAACATTCACTGTTCAAATCACTCAGAGACAGGGGACATCGGAGTACTGCTTGTTAATTTCTTGAAGCCCAAGATCTCTTATATCATTAAATAATTATTTATAATGAATATGAAAGATGATGATAAACTTCCATCTTCATCGAATTTTATTAACAAGCCAACTTAGCCCCTAGACATTTGGTTTAATGCAGAGATGATTCCAGTTTTTGTTTTTCACCAGCCGCACAATACAAAATATCCCATCCACCAGGATAGATAAGGTTTTAAATTCTTCTAAATTCATTTAGCAAAATCAAAATTAAAATCTACCTGTACAGCCGGCCTTTCTCTCTGTATCTATAGTTATCTCGTGTGCTCCTTTTTCTGTGCAGGAGAATGAATGTATGCGGATCAAAATCCTGGGTGACTGTTATTACTGTGTGTCTGGCCTCCCCGAGTCACTGCCGAACCACGCTAAAAACTGTGTCAAAATGGGCCTGGACATGTGTGAGGCCATCAAGTGAGTGATGGTTCAACAGCTCTGCAAAAAAGTAATGGCTGTTAAAAACATGTCTTTGTATCTGGTTGTACCACAGCTTTGTAATTACTACTGTTGGTTTTATTCTTAGAGATGTCAATATTTAAATGAGAATCTGCTTCAGTTGAAGCTAAAGATAATTATTGTACCAAATATATATATATATATTTTGTGTTTCAATACAGTCAATAAAATCAAAGCTGTTGCTCTTTTCTTCCTCCTTTTTCGGACAGGGTTGGTTGTATCTGTGATGGTTTTTGTTCATATTTGTCTGTTTTTGATTCATGACAGGAAAGTACGAGATGCTACAGGGGTGGACATTAACATGCGTGTTGGTGTACATTCTGGGAATGTCTTGTGCGGTGTTATTGGACTTCAGAAATGGCAGTATGATGTTTGGTCACATGACGTCACATTGGCTAACCATATGGAGGCAGGAGGTGTACCGGGGTGAGTGAAAAAGATGTCATAAGATCCAGACACGTGTCTCAAAGAAGGTTATTTTATTACTCTCCATCTGCACAAGGTTTGCCTGTCTGTGATAAATAACATCCTGAATCACTGATTTTATTACTGGAGGGCCATTAACTGAACAGTTCTTTGTCAGGCGAGTGCACATCACATCAGTGACCCTGGAGCACCTGAATGGTGCCTACAAGGTGGAGCATGGGGATGGACAAGAACGAGATCCTTACCTAAAGGAGCATGGCGTCATCACCTACCTGGTTATCAACCCAAAGGTGCACGTCTTTGTTTAAAAAAATATTGGACAATATATTGAAGGAAATGCTATAAAATGAGAGGATTTCCTTGTTTGTTTAGGTCGAGCATCGGAGCCCACAGCATCATTACAGACCCAGACACGCACTGTATGGAGCAAAGATGAGAGCCTCCGTCAGGATGACCCGCTACCTGGAGTCATGGGGAGCAGCCAAGCCCTTTGCCAACCTGCACCACAGGGACAGCATGACTAACGAGAATGGCAAGATCAGCACAGCTGTGTGTATTTGATTTTTTTTGTTGTTGTTTTACTGGAACATTTTTGTGATGAGAACAGGAGCTCATTTGTTGCTGCTGCCTATAGCTCTGTCTTCTTGCTCTGGTTTTAGGATGTGCCATTGGGACAGTATCACTTCCAGAGAAGATCAGAAAGGTAATCCAACCATTTCCAGAAACATTTTGCTCGTTTGCATTATTTTCAACCAACATCTTTTCAAGACACAAACATACAAAACCAGTTTGTATTTTTACTGGAGACATTTTGTGTCTGAGTAATTCTCAGTCAACCTAAAAAGGTCTCTCTGGTCCTCCTGAGACATTATGGGATGTATTGAAATCTGGTTGTTGTTGTTACAGGACGAAGTCTCAGAAGAAACGGTTTGAAGAGGAATTCAATGAAAGGATCATCAGAACATTTGATGGAATAAATTCACAGAAGTAATTGTCGTAGTTCTAACATATTTTTCCAAATGTTTGTATTTTGTGCATGCAATGTTTAAATAAATCATTTTAGGTCATTCCATTTCTGATTTGTTTTCTAAAATTACAAGTATTGGTTTTGTTTTCTAGTTTTTATCTAAATTAATTTTTGATATCCTTAAATAAACTTCTGTAAAATTTCAGAACAGTTAAAAATACTTGTTCCACAGTATTACACATAACGTTAAAAGCTTTAATTAGATTTTTTTTTCTTTTGCCTTCAGACAGTGGCTCAAGTCTGAGGATATTCAAAGAATATCACTATTTTTTCACAACAAATCTCTAGAGAAAGAGGTAAGACCCTTTTACTCTTGGGTTAAGAAGATGTAGTCGGTTGTTTTCCTTAGGTTACTTTGCAATTTTAGGAGTTAATGTCTGAGTACATAGTAAAATGTCTGGTGTGTATTGAGTATAATTAAAGATCCATTTGCTGATTTTATTATTTATTTTTCCTTTTTTAGTACCGAGCAACAACCTTGCCAGCCTTCAAATACTACGTCACCTGCGCCTGTTCAATATTTGTCTGCATTTTCATTGTGCAGATTCTGGTCCTGCCAAAGTGAGTGACCTTTATGCTATCTACATTAAAAAAAATAAAAAATCTGCTCATTGTATTAGTTTATTTGATTGCATCTGACATTTAAGCCAATAAAATCAATCAGATTTGTGTTTTTGTAGGACAGCTGCCTTGGGAATATCCTTCGGAATGGCCTTCCTCATCTTGTCTTTAATACTCTTCATATGTTTCATTGGACACTTCCTGGTGGGTTAATTTATTGGGCCACTTTTCCATGCTGCCACTGTATATTGAAAACTCTTTCTGCAGAATGAATGCTCTGTGTATTAGAGCTCATGTGTAAACAGGGCTGACGTTGTGTCATGAAAAGTGATAAAAGTGACCATTTGTCAATTAAAATCCCTCTAACGTGACCCTCATTGGTACTTGAGTGGCCTAGGGACTAGAACAAGTCCTTAAAAGTGCAGGCTTAGTGGTGCCCAGTACCATCATCTCTAGTGTGTTTGTACTTATTTTAGGAGGCAAATATTCAAACAAATTTTAGGCAATGTAAACACAGATGCTGTTGTAATTATCTTTATCATTTTAAACATTTAGGTTGTTTTATTTTAGGTTGCTGTTCTATGGTTTATTATCAATTTTACAATGTTGCTCTATAAATAATTTTAAAGGTCAAATTATCAACCCCAGTCTCTGAAACAATGGTTCCTTAATTAGGTAAATGGCTTAATGCATTCTTATAAGTTATCTAAAGAACATTTTGAGCTTCAGTAAAGCAACAATTAGCTGTGCTATTTAAAGATACTGAATAGTGAAGGTATTATGAAAGGAGGAGGTCTCTCTTCTTTTGTGCTCCTTTTTGTATGTTGATTCATTTTATAAGTCAGTGCCTCTCCAGTCTTCTAGATCATTGTTGCCAGTTCCAGTCCTGGTTCTCAAGACCTCCTGTCCTGGATGGTTTCAGGGGTGTTAAACATAACCTTGACTCAGGATTCCTAGCCAATTATAGAAATTATAGACCAATATCTAATCTAACCTTCTTCTCAAAAATTCTAGAGAAAATAGTTGCAGGTCAGTTATGTGATAATCTGCAAATAAATAATATATTTGAATAGTTTCAGTCAGATTTTAGAGCTCACCACAGCATTGAATCTGCACTTGTGAAAGTTGCAAATGATATTCTCATGACCTCTGATAATGGGCAGGTGTCTGCACTGGTCCTGTTAAACATCAATGCTGGATTTGATACAGTTGATCATAATATTCTATTACAGAGACATGAATATGATATTGAAATTACAGGAATGGCTCTAATTTGGTTAAAATCATATTTATCCGATAGATTCCAATTTGTAAATGTAAATAATGAGTCTTCATCATACACCAATGGAGTTCCTCAAGGTTCAGTGCTTGGACCAATACTCTTTACCTTATATATTCTTCCATTAGGTAAAGTTATTAAACAGCATGGGATAAATTTTCATTGTTTTGCTGATGATGCACAGTTATATTTGTCCATGAAACCCATTGAATTCAATCAGCTACTTGGACTACAAGCATGTCTTAACGACATAAAAACCTGGATGACCCTAAATGTTTTGCTTTTGAACACAGACAAGACTGGAGTTTTACTTTTTGGACCTGAGCACCTTAGGAATTAATTATTTTGTCTTTCGCCGTCCTTGAATGGCATTAATTTGGCCTCCAGCTCTAATGTTAAAAATCTTGGTGTTATTTTTGATCAGGACATGTTTTTTATCCCCCACATTAAAAAAGTTACTAGAACCACCTTCTTCCTACTGCATAATATCGCTAAAACTGGAAAGTTCCTGGAGAAACTTTGGCGGGGACTGCCTATTTATTATTAAATATTATTATTCATAATTAATAGTAAATCTCAAGTATTAATATTAGTAATTGTTAATGTTATTATTTGTAATTATTAAAACAAATAATTAATAATTTGTTAATTATTTTTACTAATTAATAATAATAATAATAGGTGCTAATAGGTGCCTTCGATGCATGTTGAACCAAAATGGCTCCTGACGTAACTCAGTTTCTTTGAAAAGTTTTTTCCTATTCATTTCCTATGGGAAATTTGTCATTTTCGTTAGCAAAATATGTTGCCATGGTAACACCAATTGCCAATAAAAGTAATGGCACACATCTCGGAGCCGGGCCAGTCCTTTGGATATAACTTTTGTGGGGGTCCACTTTGTGGTTTGGGCCACATTAAAGTTGAAAAAGATACTCTTTTCAGGTGTAGAATAATAAGTGGGCAGTCACCAAGTAGTTCCTGGAGTTGGTGAAATATTGTGTCTTTGTTCCCAAATTACTTTGCCATGGTAACTTGAAATGCCAATAAAAGTAATAGCACACATCATGGGGCCGAGCCGGTCGTTTTGATATAACTTTTGTGGGGGTAGACATTGTGGTTCGGGTCGCATTAACAGAGATAGAAATGTAGACTCACTTCCAAGGTGTAGAATAATAGGTGCCTGCCATGCATTTGCATGGCACTCCCCAATTAGAAACATCTAAAAATGATGCAGAAAAACTGGTTCATGCATTTGTCACATCTAGACTGGACTATTACAATGGTTTATTATCTGGGTTTCCAAATACTTCTTTAAAAATTCTCAAGTTAATCCAAAATGCTGCTACCAGAGTCTTAACTGGAGTTAGTAGAATAGATCATATCTCTCCAGTTTTATCTTCTCTCGACAGGCTCCCTGTCAAATCTAGAATTTAATTCAAAATCTTACTTATAACCTACTAAGCTCTCAACAACCTAGCTCCATCTTTTATTACAGATCTTACTGTTCCATATTTTCCTAACAAAGCACTTTGCTTTCAGACTGCTGGATTACTTGTGGTTCCTAGAGTTTCCAAAAGCAGAATGGGAGGCAGATCTTTCAGTTATCAGGCTCCTCTCTTGTTGAACCAACTTCCAGTTCTATTTCATCCCTCCTGACCGCCAGAGGGCGGTGCTGAAAGCACTGAATGTTCCCTTCGCGCATGCGCTGATTCGAGTAATAATACCAACGGAGTCACAGGTGTGACACGGATGACCAATCAGAGGCTATATAGCCCGACGTCATCCGCTGCTCTGCTCCTATTTTCTTCTCGCGCGCGGTTCAATTCAGGGCTTCAGCCCTTTGGACCTTTTCTGAACTTTTTACCGTCGTCGGAAGCCCGACTGCCCGTCTGCGGGAGTAGCGTGTTCGCCCTCCTAGGGCTGCGACGGTTTAACCCTGTTCAAAGGTATTTCTGCTGTTTCGTTGGGAACTACGGCTGTTTCCGCCTCTCCCAACTTACAGCGTCTGACTACTATGTGTGTGATTCAACACCGGTGAGTAGTTTTCCTTATATTTCGCCGTTGGTTAGCGGTAGCGTTCGCTCCGCTAACGCTTGTTAGGAGACCTCCAACCGCGTGGTCGGCTGGACTGTGCTCCGACGTTGTTTATGACTACTATGTGTGTGATTTAACACTGGTAAGTAGTGGTTTTTTGCTTATATTTTGCTATTTGGTTAACGGTAGCGTTCGCTCCGCTCTTGTTTACTGGAGGCCTCCAACCGCGTGGTCGGTTGGACCGTGCTCCGAAGTTTGTTTATTACGTAGCCAGCTGAGTTTCTGGCCTTGTTTTATTTGGTGAAGGCGAGTGTTCTCACCCCCTCTCCCAATTGTCCTCTTACCAGCTGAGCTAGTGGTGCTAGCCTCTCTGAGTTCTAACCTTGTTTTATTTGGTGAAGGCGAGTGTTCTCACCCCCTCTCCCAATTGTCCTCTTACCAGCTGAGCTAGTGGTGCTAGCCTCTCTGAGTTCTAAC